ATTTGTCATCTGAGTTTTCAAACAAATAAGTATATCGTTTCCACAAATAATTTCAATCAGTGGCTTTGAGCTGAAATTCTGCAAAAAATTGTACAATTAATAATGTACATATTTTTGAGATATTCAGTACCAGTAGTACAAATTAAAGATCCACTGCCATGAGCAGTACCAATACCATACAAATTACTGCACCATTTTGACTATGTTAAACTATATCTGTTTATTCTTACAAAAACACAGTTACCAGGGTATTCAGGAAATAAAAACGAACAATAATATCAACAACTGCATCTCAATTAGGGACGACATCAAAAGTTCAATGTAGGATAAAAAACTTAATTCCTTTAGTTTCTTCCCCAACCCCCCACTGAAACTTAATTGATAAATATTGATGATGGCGTCAGACTACATTCACCATCAAATACAAATTAATAATCGAACAGTAGTATGGCATAGCAGTTGGTTCTAGATCCATGCCCTGAAATTGACCTCATTTGACGCACATATTTACACTCGGACCAAACCATTTTCTCGTCTTGGATGATTTTTTTTTTTCATTTTCTGTTATTTTTTGTCCATGATTGGATAGAAAAAAAAAACGAACTACAAATACTCCATGATTTTTTTGACTTCATTAAAAAATAAAATCGTTTTTGTAGGATGAAAACTTGTTGAGGTCAACCCCCCCAAACTAAAGCAAATAAGTTTTTTATTCAACATCGATCTTTTGATGTTGTCCCTTAATGGCTTTTATGTCGTAAATATATATTCAATATAATGGAAGCTCTGAGTCCTTAATTTCATTCATCCTTGATTTCAAATCATGAACTATTTTCTCCGAGCTCTTTTAGATACAGGTTGCTCCTCAATACATATATCTCTTTTTATTGTAGATTCAGTTGACTGAAATAATGTCATTTTGTGTATCCTGCTTTTATTGTCAATTTCTGATATACTGGTGTATGTACTGGATTGCTTAAAGTCGCCATCTTTGTTTGGGGCATCATCAGTTCCTTTGTGGTTGGCAGCAGCTTCAGCAACATCTAAGTCACAATCATTTGTAGATGGAGAACCTGCATTTTCGCAACTGCCCTTAGAATATGCAGCTTCCAATTCGGCAATTTGATTCAGTTCTTCGATCCCTGGTTCCTCCATGAAGGAAGTCTCAAAATAATTCATGATATCTTTCTGTTTTGAGTCCTGAAAGTTGTAAAACAAATAACTGTGTATCAACCGTGTATCTGTCTTCATGAAAATTCATAATGCCTATAGATGAGTTTATTTCAGTATAATTGGGACTTTTGGTGTATGAAATTTACAACAAATTTCCCCTGATAGGGTCACAAGTTTTTCTCAGAATAGTATGAGTAAGATTAGTACTACTGTAAAGGGGTTAATTATTCACTGGGTTTTAATTTTTTTATTTCGCTGACTGGAAAATGCGCTATTAAAATTAAAACCCTGTGAATATGTAAAATTTAGCATAGAACACATTATCTAAATGATAAAATCGTGAATTTAAAAACCCATTGAATATGCCTGAAATGGTAAATCAGCAAAATTTAAATCCAGTGAAAATTACTCATTGTACAGTATGTTTCTAAATATTTTCAGTTTTAATGTAATAACCTCATAATATTTGATTTCCAGTCTATTCTACTACTACCTTGAATCGCTTGGTATCAGCCTGTGAGAAATCATCTTTAGTAAGACCAGCTTTACTCAAAACATCCAGCTTTTCCTGAACCAATGGCCTGAGAAAAAATGTAATCATAATGAGAACTGACACTGGATTAAATATTATATTTTTGCAGCTAGGGATTGCCATGATTTTACGATTTCATGGCATTTGTGTAGACAAAATTTTGTGAGAGTTGATGACACTGCTACAAAATGTCATGATTTTCACTGACTCTTGAAAATCACAACAATTTGTCTCATGCT